AATTGGAATACCAGAATTTACTATAATTTTCTCTCTCCTTTGCTAATTGATAAGAAGGTAACAGCTTCAGTGCTAATTTATTTTTATGTTTAATTAGGAACCTTTTTTTCCTTTTCATTCAAAACTCAGCTTTTACCAGCACTCAGAACTGTGAGGGCAACATGAAAAATAATGGAAGCATTACATTCCTGTTAGTCAGAATGCTGAGAGCTGGACATCAGTTGACCATCCCTGAAGAGTTCATTTACCCAAAAAGCAAAACTAATTTGGTAGAAGTAATTCTTCTTTGGCGTAGAAGTAATTCTTAGAGTTCTTATCACACCTAGCACTTCCACCCAGAATGTGAGCCCTCACAACAAGAATGGCCTATTGTCACTGTCCTGCAGCTGGCAATTAAGCACCACAGCAGCCACTCACTCACAAGTGCAGTGGGGAGGACAACCAACAGTAGAACTTGTAGGTTGATATAGGAAGAGTTAAATAACTAATTTTTTTTTAATTTAAAAAATATAGTAATAATGGTAACAAAACCAAACCAAACAAGTGATGCACCATGCAATTGCTCACACCCACTGACCGATGCCAGACTCCATCCCCAAACCCAGATCCACTCTCCTTCTAGGTAACTCCCCCAGTTATATACTGGGCATGATGTTTTAGGGTATGAAAACATCCCTTTGGCCCGTTTGGGTCACTGGTCCCAGCAATGTTCCTTCCCAGTTTTCCTTTTGTGTGTCTCCTCACTGGCACAGCATAAGACACAAAAAAAAGGTCCTTGAGGTCCTTGACTTAGGATGAACACAACTTAGCAAAAAACAAAAGCTTTCAGTGTGTTATCAACATTATTCTCATGCTGAATCAAAACAGAGCACTGAGAAGAAAATAAGTCTATCTCAGCCAAAACCAGGACACTCAAGACAGCTGACTGCAAAACACAGACTGCATTTTTTTTTATATTTCTAATTTTATAAAAAATAAAAAAAACCCCAAGAAATCTTAAAGCCATTCTAGAACTCTCAATCCCTCATTTTATATTGTAAAGGGAAAAAAACATTGCTCTAAAATAATGTAATTTAAACATAACCTGTAACAGTTCTTTAAATAAAATTAAAAAGTACTAAAAGACGCCATCCCATAATCAATATCCTATATCCTCAACTTACTGTTATCACTGGCTGCCAGCTTCTCTCTCTGGAAGTGGCTCCTAACTCTTAGCACATCCAGGCTTGGAGCTGCAGCAGGGTGAGATCCAGGCTAGGGCCCACCAGCTGCAGGCATTCATTCACTGAGGCTCACAGCATTTTCCCCATGCTCTCAGAAGAAGCAAGAGCACCTGTGAATACCAAATTGCCAGCACTATTTCCAGAGACTGTTCCTGGAGGTTTTCCTCCGTGGGAAGGGAAAAGAAACATTCACATCTTTCTTGAAGGCAATGAACTGTAGTAACTTTTGGTTCTTGTAGTGACTGGGCACTGCTTTGGGCTCCCTTCCTTGCAGCAGTGTCAGCCAGGAGCTCACACACTGCCACACCTGGTCATTGCAAAATGATGGTGACTACTCTTCCACAAAGTGCCAAAGCCAAACCTTCTCAGAAATCTCTTCCTCTCTTCACAAAACCACCAATAGGAAGAGGCTTTTCTTAAGAAGAAAAACAGAATGTGCCTTTGCCTCACAAAAAAACACCCACAAAACCAAAGAATGAGCCCCCCCAACCAAAAGGACAGTTGTGTTCTAGACAGACACCACCCACTGGTCCTCTCAGGACAGCAGCCCCAGGACTGATGCCCTCACTCAGCTGTGAGAGATGCCTCAGGCACAGCTGGAAATGGTGTGAGATAATGGAGATGTTCGACAACAGCTCAGGGAATACTGCTTGTCAGGGCTTTACAAGCATGCTGGTGAGGAAGATCACAAAAGAAAATAAAAGCTGGGGAAAAAGCTGGGCATGCTCCCACTTAGCTTTGAAATAAAAAAAAAAAAGGTACCTATTGTATCAGTGAAATGAGAAAGCCGAGAGTTGGGCTAGAACCCAAGAGCAAACTCAGCAATGCACAGGGCTGAGGTTGTTGAGTTAGAAAAACAAGGGCTTCACCTGTGTCTGGCCTCTCAGCCTTGCTCAGGAGCAGCAGGACGGCAATACTATTCGTTAGCTACCTTAAAAAAAAAAATACCCAGAATATGTGTTGCTTTGGGGTGCTTTTCCACTGTAAATCATGCTGATATGTTTGGAGGAAGAAGCTATCTACCCCAAAGGAATTATCGATTATTTTAAGCTTTCACAGCACCAGCTGCTCCTAACTCCCAACAGCTAAAAGGGTTATGAGTGGGAGGCTTAGGCTGAGGCAATGTGAAGATGGCTAATATACAAATGCTAAAAAGCAGATGCAGCGAGTTCCAGGCTGCTTCTGGGTCCTTATGGCAAAATCAGACCTGTGCCACCTGAAAAGTGTTCCCGAAGACACCTGATCCGTTCACCAGTACAGACCCAGAAGGGTTCTTACAGCAATACTTACACTGGGCTGCTCCATGGGCTGAGAACTGGGGGAGCTGGCAGTGTCCTTATCTGTCCAGGGAAAGCTCTCTCACCCTGACTGAGCACAGTGCAGCAGAGGGGCAGAAAAGGTGTTTCACAGCATCCCATTTGAATTTTCCAACCACAACCTGTCCTGAACCCATGTGTGTGAGAGATGGAGGAAGGCTGAGGCTGACTGGGGATCAGTGGGATAGGGAGCTTTGGTTCTCAACACTTCGTAAGGTTTTTGCCCTCTCATCAAGGAAAGGAAGAGTGATTAGTTCTCAAATTCTTCATTCTAGGAGCAGGTTCTTTCTTTTTCAGAGCTGGCAGCCCTTCAATTCCAGCCCCCCTTACCCCCAGTTCACACTGCATTTGCTGCAGCTGTGCATTCAAATTTATTGAATTTTTTGCCATACTTCAGACTCTGAACAAAACAGCTTTCAGCCTCACAAGTAAGCTTTAACATACTTCAGCCCTTAATGAGTGAATCACATTTCATTGCAACTGGGGATATTGATTGGAGTTAATATGAAACCATGGAGCAGTTTAAGGAACAACGTTAAGAGTCCAGGATGTTCATTTATAAACTCCCATTCCCAGAAGTGAAACAAAAGGAAAACTCAGCTAACAGCTCAACTACCAGCATTTCCATCATTGTTAGAAGAGGGAAAAACAACAACAAAAAGTGATTCTGACATCAATCTAGCATGTATTAAATTTGACATGAAATTTGCAATTGTTGATGCAGATTGACTTGAAGATGTTAATGAAGACTGGTAATATGACAGAACTACATGCAAACTCAGCTAAAATGATATGAAAATGCATGTGTTTCATAGCTATCACTACAAATGACTCTACATTTGCTTAAATGAAATAGAATTAGTCTCCATAAATTTTCATGCCCCGTGTTTTTGTCTCTGGCCTTTGAACATACCTATTTCACAATTGCCTTATATTGGTTCAGTTTTTTTTAATGGCAGTATCAATGCACTGAATAAACATTTATTTTATCAAACCATCTCCCCAGTCATTCCTTAAGTTTCAGGTGGAAAAAAAGAAAAATATGCTTGAACAAACATGGAGCAAAACAAAATGCAGCACATGGCTACATCGTGCAACTAATATAAAGAAAGGTTTATCTCACATGATATAATGGAAGTCAGCACAGACATTCATTTGGTGTAAACAAGTGATGTCTTAGTGAAATTTATAATACCCAATTTGTGGCACTAAACTTTGTTTTACTCCGCTAAGTAAATTCAGCTGAACGTGTTCCTACATGTTCAAACATTCATTTGTAAAATACTTATAGAATCACAGTAAATGCTCAGGTCTGACTGTTGTTCTGGGAAGCTGGAGAACAACAATAAAAGAGCAACAGTAGGTGGCCGAGACACTGTAAGCCTGGTAAAGACTTACCCTTCCCTTTCCGCCCATAATTTCTGTACACTTGGCGTCCCAGCCCCCTCCTCGCCTCTCCCAACACACAGAGCTCGGAAGAGCACCAGGCATGGCCATAGCCCGGAGGGGGGAAGGCTGCAGTGGGCTCCAGGGATGGGAAGCCGAGGGACGCTGACAAAGGATGCTGCCTCTGTGCTCCCTCCCTCTCTCTCTCCCTCCCTCCCTCCTTCCTTCCCACTCCACCTCGTACATTGGCAGCGGCTCGAAAGGTCGGACGTATCTGAATTACTGTCTGGGAGGGGATGAAATCGCCAAGTCCATGCACAACCCCAGCCGCTCCTCTCCGGTTCGCCGGCGCAGGGAACCGGAGCTCTGCCCACGCCGCGGCCGCCCGCACCTTCCCATTCTCCTCCCGCCGTCCCTGCCTCTCCCCGGGAGCGGAGCTGCTGCCATCTGCCCCAGCAGCGCCGGGCTCGCCCCCGCCCGCTCGGTCCCTGCCTCCGCCGCCGCGCCGGATCCGCGGCTCTGCGTTATCCCTGGAGCCGAGCTGCCGGCGGCTCTTCCGAGGAGCAAACGTGCGCCAAAGGGCACAGGCTCTCCGCACGGCGACCAGCCCGCCATCCTTACCTTATGGACACCGAGACAGCGGATACCGCCAGGCTGGGGCAGCCCAACGCCAAGCCACCAAGGCGCGAAGGCTACCGCAACACATGAGTCCTTTATTCAAATAAATAAAAATGAACTTTTATGTACAAATATACAAAACCATTACGCACATTTTATAAAGTAGTCAGAAATCTTTAAAAAAACCGCGAGGGAGGAGGCAGGACGCCCACAGCCGGTGCCCTCCCTCCCAGCACCCGGGCACTGGCGGGCGGAGGCCGGCGCCGCTCCTTTGTCCCTCGCCCCGGCGGCGGCGGCGCCCCGAGGATCGGCTCCGGGCCAGGGGCTCCGCTGCCCGGCCCCCGCCGCCACCCGCCCGGGCTGCCACGGCGCCGACAACACAACACGGAACACGACATCGCGGATGGCGGCCCCAGCTGCCCCCGGTCCGACCGCTCGGGCGGCCCCCGCCGGCCGCGCCGCTCCGCGGTCCCGGCGGGGCTCAGAGGGTGCCCAGGTGCGGCAGCGTCTCCAGCCGCTCGGGGTGGTCGCGCCCGGCCGCGCTCTCCACGCCGCGCAGCCACTCGGTGCATTTCCGCACCAGCCCCTCGTCCGCCGCGGCCCCCGCCTCCTCCTCCTCGTACTCCTCGTCGTCGTAGCGGTGCCGGTCGTTGAGCAGCGAAACCTTCAGCAGAGCGCGCAGGTCGCCGCGCCGGGCCGGGGCGACTCTGCCGGCGGGAGAGGGTGCGGGCTGCCCCCGCTGCCGCTCCAGGCTGCGGCGCTGCAGCACCCGGATGGCCTCCGGGGGCAGGCTCAGCGAGAAGCGCCCCGCCGCCTCGCCCGGCGCCCTGCCGAGGCTCTCGCAGGAGCGGCTGCCCGCCCCCGGCGCCCCCGGGCGGCCCCGCGGCTGCGGTGGGGTGGGCTGGGGCCGCGCCGCCCGCTCGGCCGGCGGTCTCCGCGGAGGCGGCCGCTGCAGGGACGAGCAGGGCCAGGAGCTGGAGAGGGGGCCCGGCCGCTCCGGAGGCGCCCCCCGCGCCTTCCTCGCCGCCTTCTCCTCTGCGGGCCGAGGCGCTGCTTTCTTGGGGGCCGAGGCGGCCGCCGGCGGCTTCTTGGGCTGCGCCCGGGCGGCAGCGGGGGAAGCGGAGGGGGTCGGCAGGATGGCCGGCAGCAGGGGCGGCAGCGCGGCGGGCCGCCCGGGAGTTCCCTCCGGCTCGTCGCTGCGGGCCCAGGGAGGAGCGGAGCGCGCTCCGGGCAGGGCGGCGCTCCTTCCCGCGGGCGGGCAAGGCCCCGCGGCGCGCCGCGGCTGCAGCCCCATGGCCACGGGCGGACGAGGAGCCCGAGCTGCCGGCGCGGAATGCGAGCTCGCTCTGCGCAGACAGCCGCCGATTTTCCCTCTCGATAACCCGTCCCCCTTCCCGCCCTTCGCCCGCCCCGGGAACACCCTTCCCCAGCGCGGGGTGGGCGTGCGGGCGGGGACGGGGGTCGTGCCGGCACTGGCCGCGCTCCCGAACGAGCCGCACTGGTCGGGCTCGGTGCGGCGCTACTCCGGACCCTTTTCCCGGTCCTCTCCCGCCCGCCCTACAGCAGAGCCGAACTAAAGAAGAGGATGGCGGGGCTCATGCTCCGAGGGCAAAAAGGCTCTAAATTTCTCCCCAAGTCCTCAAGCGTCCAAAGGTGAAAAGGCAATATTTTAAAATCATGTTACATTCTCTTGCTGTCTTAAAACCAAGAATGATACTTTGATTTCCTTGATTACTTGAAGTATCATGAATAAGGGCAGGCACACCGGCCAAGAGACAGACACACTCAGACCTAGGGGTTGGCTGCCTCAGACTTAGTGGACAAGCGCTGCCTGCTTTGGTAATGAAGAGTACAGTGCAGAGATCCTTCTAGTGTCAATGCCTTCTGTGACAGAGCTCCGTTGGAGGGTTGTTGTTTGTTTGGGGTTTGGTTTGGGTTTTTGTGATATCCAAGACAGCAACTTCCTATCTTTTGAAAAGATAGGAAGTTGCTGTCCAACAGAGGTTTGGAGAAGTTTCATGGTGTAGTAGTAAGTTAACAAACATTTCCTATGGATCCAAGATGATTACCACCACTCCAAAATTTAGCCTTAGAAGTCATGGCATATAATTTCTACAATATTTATTTCAAAGTATTGTTTTAATTACAGTACCAAAACTTTATCAAAAAATGGGTAGCACGTATGCAATCCACAGGGACAGATCTTCACACCTATGGTGGCACACTATCACAATGGTATTACTACACTGTGAAGATTCCCCAACTGTAAGGTCTTGGAATACTCATACACAGTAAACAAAGACAGGATGCGAAGGAGCAAAAGATACAGGCAAAACAACACAGAGTGTGTGCTCTGTATGCAGATGGAGAAAGTAAACCCTTAAATGTTCAAGAGAGAAAAAAAACAAGGAAGGCACATGATGTAACTAACAGACCAAAGTGCATATGGAAGCATACCAGTACATGGAGATTTTGGTTCTTGAACCCATTCTCTCCTGCTGATCTAAGTGTTAACAGATGAATGGTAACTTCATCATTTACCACAGTGGATAAATAAATAAATAAATTTTGAATAACCAATGTAACTCTAATTAAAGACTACAGTGAAGGTGATTGTGTACCACCAGAACTGGGCAAAACCAGCTCTGGAGCAAATGAAAGCCCGGCACAAGAGATGGGATGGGACAGGATGAGACGGGATCTTTCCAGTCAGCTGAGGTCAGCAGCAGCGACTGGGGAAGGGGCAGTCACTTCCAGGATGATGTCCATCACTGCCCACACACATCCTGCTTCCTCTTCAATGCAAGCTGAAAACTAAACGGAGCCAAAAATTCACCCAAGAGCCATGGGCAGAGCTGGAATAGCTGTCCCTACCTCACACAGCTCTAGCAAGCCCTGCTGTGAGGCCAGGACTACCTGCCCCCCCTATCACCAGCAGGGCCGATGCCTCCCTGGCAATTTATTGTTACTAACCAGTTAAAGGGCATGGCTTAGTTGGAAGTCTAGCTGCAAAATAATGCAATCACCCTGTACACAGCTTCCCCTAAAGTTGTTGCTATGTTTTGCAACATGCACTGATACTCAACAGGAACATACTGTACCTCAATTTGTCTCTTTAGCCTGAACTTTGAATACTAAAAACACCGAGGTTTTCTCCTTCCTGACACTGCAGATCACATCTTTTCAAAGCAATTCCTTCTTCTAGATTTGTGGATGAACAGAAGAAAAAATCCAAACCAACTCAGTTTTGAACACACATATATAAGCATATCCATCCTGCGCAAAAAAGAACCTCCTGCTATATAATATCAACCAAAAATTAAAGATTTAACTTTGCTCCAGAATAACTGGAGAGTTCGTAGCTGAAAAAATCAGAAATGAGAATCTCTTACTGGAGCCAGGCAAAGTGTTACAGTACTTCAATCTATTACCAGATTAAATCAGAATGAACAGTCTGTCTAAATACTAAAAGCAGCTTTTAAGGTCACTTCTGAAAATCTATCAAACAAATTTGGATATAGTCATATACAAACATTTATATTTTCATTTTTATTCAAGAGTAATGCTGAAATTTTCAGCCCTCCATAGCTGATTCCTAAATAATAATGTATAAGGCACTTTTAAAATGAATTTATTTCACAAGTCCCATTTATACATTAGTCATAAGTTCTTGTAGTAAAAAGTATTTAGGTATGAAATTTTTTACAAAAACAACCATTTAAAATACAACTTTTTTAATAAAATCCAACAGGTTTTAAACTTTCCTTTCACATTCTCATTAAGTTTTTTCCATAAGGCACATGTATAGACATTTCAAAGGAGCAGTTAATTACAAACCTTCCAAATCTTTACAATGTTTATAAAACTCTGTCTTTGGAAAAGCATACAATGGATAATATACAAACATAAATGGCACATTGCAAGTTTTAGACAGAACTATAAATGAAACCTTTATGCACACTACCCAGGCCTTAGTGACTTGCCTCCACTGGGGAATAAACTGTTACCAGATACAAAGTAGTGTTAAGACCACTCTGTATGAAGTACTTAAATGTACTTTCTTGTTAGAAAAAAGCCTGGAAGTTCCAGGGTAAACACAAATAATTCTGCGACTTTATTTTAAAAACTGTTTCTAGTAAAAATTATTGAATCTCCCAAGTGTAAAAGGCAAGGAAAATACTAAACTGCTACTGGGTATTTCAGAAGCGGCAAAGTATAGAGTTTTTTGAGTAAAATTTACAGAGGAAAAAAGTTGCCTTTTAAAGTGGACAGTGGTTCCTGGTTTAATTTACCCTAGACAGGATGAGAAGCATTTAATCACAGCATCCCTTTAAAAAAGAAAAAAAAAGTCAGTTAGGATTTGTTATTTTGCTTATAAACATCTAAACCATTACCTATTTAAAATTACAATACGGCAGAAACTAAAGACATATCAAGAGCTGATCAAATGCAGGATCAGTGTGTGAGTGACTCCACCACCCCAGCTAAAGGCCAGGCTCAGGCCAGGTGGGTGCCAGGGTTTCCGTCCTGTTGGCACTGCAGGCCATGCTGAAATGCAGACAGTGCTGGGAGGTGCTCTGCAGCTCTCTGGGAGGCTGACCAAAGGGCAGAGCCCGATTTCACAAAGGCTGCCAGCAAGGACTCAGCTGAGGAGTGCCCAGTCCCCAGCAGGGCACAGCTGCCAGGGCTCCAAGCCACATCGGGGCTGGACCGTCACAGCGCAGGAAATAAAGCACAGCCTGAAGGGCTGGAATTATGCAGTGCAGGATGGAGAGAGCTGGTTCAGCCTTAAGGCTGGGAAGTTCTGGAGGGTTCCATTTTTTCAATCAACAATAAACTGTTTTCTGACTGCTACACTCACCCTTTAGTCTCCTTTATTTTTCCTTTTCCCAGAAAAGTAATATGGAGTATTACTTTTATCCCAGTAACTTAATATGGAGTGGAATTTTTATTCAGTTTCCAAAAAAAAAAAAAGAAACATGCTATCATCATTCTTTAAAGTCACTTAGCTATATGGGTTTTGGTTTTGTTGCATTTGTTGTTGTTTTCATTAGGGTTTGGTTTGGTGGGGCTTTTTGTTGCCAGGCCAACAGGAGAGCAAGCATTAATTTAGGAAGAAACAAACAGAAACCAACAATCCCCCCCCCAACAAACCCGTGAACAAGTAAAATGTTCTGAAGAGAAAACCATGAAAAGAGTTAAACCAAGGAATGAAAATTTCATGAAATCAAGAGAAATGCATACTTTAAACAAATGATATAATTCTATTCTCTGGCATTTAGCATGGTTTAGATCATTGTTCCCATAAGAAAGGCAGTCTATATAATAAATTTATCATATCACTCCACATAAGCAAATAACTCAGTAATCCCTAAAGAAATCACAGTATTACTAAAAGCAGTCTCTATAAAATTCAGTTCTTTGGTTCATAAAATCTAATAGATAAATAAATCCAAAGAAATTAACTGATGCATATAACCTAATGTTTTTCTGCCCAGAACTTAGAAGTACTGTTGATAGGGAAGAAAAAGTCAGAGAGCCCTGAAGCTCAACTTGCTTCCTCTACAGAGAAAGCCATAAAAAAAGAAAAAAGACCAAAAAAAGGAATGAGCCTCCTGAGACTGTCTCATGGCCACTGGACCTATAAGAATTCAGAATACTACTTTTGTCTGGGTTAATCTGAATTGTCAGAAATAGTAAAATAACGTTTGAAGCCAGAGCTCAGTTATTTTATTCACTGTAATTAACAACAACTGTCTTAAAAAAATCCTTCCTAGATGAAATCTGAAGCTTTAAAAAACTTAAAAAAAATTTTTTGGTGATGCTATGGGAAAATACCAGATGAAAGGAACAGACAATGCTTTGTATTCTTTTCCCCCACACCTCTACAACAGCAAGCCTCATTAAATGATATGGAAGTGCTTAATTTTTTAAAAAAACCCCCTATCAAGAAGACCAAACTGCATTTTACATGAATCATAGAAAAAACAGATTCTTACATTTGATTACTTGCATGTGTTTTCACTGTGTTTGGTCTGCTTTCATTCCCTTTTTGTACACAGAAGAATGAAAGAAAAGAGAGGAGCTTGCCAAAATGAAAATAAAGCATTTATTTTAGGAGGGCCTTTGCCCCTCCTAAAAATGATGGAGGAATTCAGAAATAGAAACAGAAGCTGTCACTATGTTGCTTGTTTGCTTTTAACTAGGATCTCAGATCCATAAGTTACCTTTAATTTTGGTACCAGAAAAGTGACTATTGCATCACTGTATTGTTAAATCATTAGAGACATTATTTAAACAAAACCTTCATTCATTTTCAGTGGTGGAAACTT